ATCTGAAAGTGACGAGTAGTTCCACGTAGCCCCATGGCCTCGTGGGAGTGTCGTTGAAGCTCTGCAAGTCAGAGTCTACATACGGAGTCAGATGGCTCTCGTCGAACTAGAGAGTAGTGAACAAGTGAGCATGCATTATGTCAACCGAGCTCTCCTAGTCGACGAGAATGCAACGGACGTTAAAGTTCTTCATCTGGGCTCTGATCAGCAGAGGGATGCTGGAGTTAGGGGAGCCACCCAGTAGCTCCTCGAGGTAGAAGGTGATCGGGTTCGAGTTACCCTTGAACCTATCGAGGGTGGCGTTCTGCTTCGAGCTCTTGTCGATTAGCTCATCAAAATTCCTATTAACCGACCCTACTGAGAGCTTGCTGGGACCCCCGCCGGATATGACCATTGCGGCTGGGAAGTTCTCCTAAGGGCTATGAGCGGATAAAGGTGTGTCGGCCTCGTAGGGAAGGTAGAAGTCCTTTGGCCGGGAGACGCACAGAGCGACCTGCAGCCCGACCTCGTTTGAGGGTGGCGTCACCTCTTCGACCTTCTTCGCCTTGCAGGTTTCCTGTTGACGAGTCTCGTTCCTTCAAGTGTATTGTTTTAGGTTCCCTTCCTTGATTAAGATCTCGATGGCATCCTTGAGATGGATGCAATATTCTGTGACATGCCCTGTGGCTCCTGTGGAACCAGCAGTACTTGGACTTGTCGACATTGGGCTTGAGGGACGTCAGCTTCGGAAAGCAGACCCCACCTCTTTGGAATTCCGAGTTGATGCACTTGACCAAAATACGCTCTCGGGGAGCGGTAAGCAACATATACTCCATGAAACGGCCTACTGGTCCCTGGTGTTTTCGGGAGTCACGGGGCCGGTCTTATCTTCTTTTGTCTCCACCACGTCGGGGAGCAATAGATTCTTCGTGCTTGGAGACTTTGGCAGTTTCTTGGTTTCGCGAGTCATGGGCACTGTTGGCGGCCTCCTTCTTCTCATATTAGATGTAGATTCGGGCCTTATGGAGGAGTTTGTCCATTGTGTTGGGCTTTTCGATACCAACCGCCTTGGCGAAATCACAACCTTTGCTCGATCAGACACCTCTTCATGTTGTCTGCTGTGGACACCTGAACAACTTCTCGATTGAATCTCTCTATGTAGTCTTAGAGAGATTCGTCCTTCCCCTGAATGATAGCCTTCAGGGATACCTCCGTCTTCGGATGTCGTCGAGAGGTGGTGAAGTGCCTGGATAACTGTCTCTTCAACTCTTTCTAGGAAGTGATGGATTTGGGCTCGAGGCTCTTGTACCATGCCATCGCGCCCTTCCTCAGGTTTGTCGAGAAGATCCAACATTTTATGGCTCCACGGATGTTGCGGTAGTCGTGCATTGCATCGATGCTCTCAATATGGTCGTCCGGGCCGGTCGTACCATTGTAGGTCGTCAGACTCGGCGATTTCTCCATCCCGACGGGGAAGCAAGTCTCCGTGATGGCCCTGTACAACGTAGTATGGGGGCCATCCTCGTCGCTTCTGATGGGTGATTGTGAGGGGGAAGAGTCGTACTGAGGGCTCCTGCTGCGGCGTGGAGGGCTCCTCGGTCGAGTCTTCGGCTTCTCCATCTTCCCATCGACTTTGTTTTTCTTTGGAGTCGTGGAACGTCGTTCCTTCCAGAGAGGGCCGCGGTCGCGCTTCTGGGTCGCTACGGGCTGAGACCTCTCTAGTCGTGGGCGAAGTCCATGTTGTCACGACAGGGGGCTTAGAGATTCGTCTCGTTGATGTCTCTGCGGGGGAGAAAGGGGGCGTGTTTCTCGCCGTCTCAGGGATGGGCTGCGAGAAACGGGGCGCCTATGTCTCCACGAGGGAGAGCGTGATTGCCGCTCCTTTTTCAGCATCCTGATCTGTTCGTTATGTTGGAAGATCACCAGGTTCGTTTGGTTGGTCGCCGCGAACAAGGCCACTATGGTTGGGTCGGCGTTGGGTGACATGAGAATTGGTTGGAAAACAACAGGACTGTCGTACCGTTGAACGGCATTGTCGGCCACATTGTTGGAGGAAGGAGAGGCGGTGCACCCGTCCCTGGGGTCACCCTCATCGACTGGGACAACTATGTTGGGATCATGGTTTTCGCCGTTGGTGAAGGTGGTGAAAGCAGTTTCGTGGATGTTATCGTCAACGCGTGGGCTGGCCATGATCAATGGATAGTTGGCTGATGACGTGTCCCCGCGTGGGGGACACGTGGAGACCGTAGGGGAGACGCGTGAGAGCTCCCTGTGTGAAGTGATGAATTGGGCCTTCATTAGGCCCTCCTCGACGAGGAGTTGGGTTGGGTCATACCTGACGGTGGCGCAGCTCTGGCCCAGTTTAAAATAGGACCCAAACACAACTTTTAGTTAGGGTTGAACAAAAGGAGGCTTAGATTTGCCTTTTCTCAAACAAAAGAGGAAGTTTACAAAGGTTGCGTTAAACGGTATCTGTGAAAAGAACCCAGAAGATTTCACATAGACATAGAGCCACCATGCCTGGAAACAAATCTTCACTCATGTTTGATTCAATTGTTGAAAAAAAACACTGCCTCTCATTGAGATCTATCATCGGCTACCATAACAACATAGAGGCAACAACTCTCAAAACAGATCCATACCATGATAGAAAAAAGAGAGAAAGACGAGCAGCAAGTGATAAAGAAGAAGAAAATATGATTTGGAATCGAAGAGAACGAGAAAGATGAGCGAGAGTGATAGAAAAGTGGATAAGAAAATTATGATTTCAGCTTTTCATTTCGGAGAGAGAAAAGAGTGAATTGGTAGTATCAGATTTTGCATTGGAACCCGCTATTAGTTGACATTATACAACCAACTAATTTGTTTCAAATAAATGTGTGTTGATAACATCCAATTTGTTCACATTTTCAAAATAATTGAAAAGTACTATCTTTCAATATCATTAAAAAAAATAATTTGATTAAAAAAAAAATTTAAACATAAAAAAACCCATAAATTAATATTGTGGCATTTTTTAAGATAAGAGTAGTTTTAATTTTTCCATAACATCTAATTTTATATTATTATAAATTTTTGACTCAAAAACTCAATAGATTGATATGAATATATTGGTTAAACTATAACCAAACACAAGTTTAAAGCAGATTAAATCAAAATGCAACCTCCCATAAGAATTAAGATGGATAAGAATAAAACTAGATATGTTTTGCCATACATTTTTTTTTAGTAAACTTTACAAACTCGTATTAAAACTTTTGTGAGAACCAAGAACCAGAACAAAATCGCTAAAAGGACATAATTTAGAGTTACAGAATTAAATGAACTACACATAACAAACTAGAAAAAGCAAGTGGGTCCCACATCCGATTCAGCGCCACGGTGGATTGAAAAGAATTCTGATCAACTTTGAAGCACACACTGTTACCAGAGACACTGACGGTATTTCATTTTCAAAAAATTTATACTACGAGTTTAATTAATACTATTAATTTATTTTAAAATACAAAAAAATTAATACTAAAAACATTAAAATTAAAAATATTTACGTTAATCCATTAAAACAAATAGCTGCACAGAGACACAGATACTAAGACATCTGACATGTAAATTTTAATATTCTATTTATTTATTCTTATATATATATATATATATATATATATATATATATATATATATATATATATATATATATATATATATATATATATATATATATATATATATATATATATATATATATATATATATATATATATATATAAGGTTATATATATATATATATATATATATATATATATATATATATATATATATATATATATATATATATATATATATATATATATATATATATATATATATATATATATATATATATATATATATATATATATATATATATATATATATATATATATATATATATATATAAGGTGTATAATTAGAAAGAGGTGGCGAATAAACCAAACCAAAACAAGGGTCTACACATGTTGTGTGTTTCATCATTGAATGTTCTGTTGACATATGAACTAGAAAGTCTCCATCTTTGATTGAAAACTCTCACCCTCTACAATTTCTGTGCAACTTTCTCTCTCACACTTAATTTCTTGTGCTCACAAGGTATTTTTTGGAGTCAGCATTTTACTACTTTGTTCAACCATCTTTTTCTGTGCATTTGCTTGGTTTTTTGTGTGCTTTTAGTTGGATCTGGATTTAGTTGTGAAAAACTCATTTGATTGTTTGGGAGTTGGGATGTGGTTACTTAGAGGGATGGAATGGGTGAGCATGAGTTTAGTTTCTTTGTTTTTTATTTTGGTTGCGGGTTTTATTGTAATGAACTTCTCCTTGCTTTGAAGGTGTTTGATTTTTTGTCTGTTAGAGGTTTAATTCACTTTGAGCTAAACTCTGTTGAAAGTTTGTTATGAAAAAATAAAAACTATGTCCTATGGAAAGTTTCGATATAACTTTTTGATGATTCTGCTTGAAAAATGATATCTGCTCTAATTGTTTACCCTTTTATGTATTTTATATATATAAAGGAAATGGAATTAGAGAGTGAATTATTGTTTTACTTGATGAACTTGAGTTGTTAGGGTAATTATAGGGTTTAATTTTGGGATATTTGAGGAAATAAATGTTTCTGCTAGGTCTGGGAAACCATTGTAGTTTTACTATTACCTAGTGGTTTGACAAAAGAACAACATGCTACTTTAAGCTGGTTTAGTCAATGCGTGCATTGATCTTCATAAGAATATTCTTAGTCTTTTTAAAATATTTGAGTGATGACCAAAAGTGCCAAAGGATTTAATAAAATACATGGTTTGACTTCATCCAATAAACACATATTTGCAAGCTGTGATTTGAATGCTTTGCTTTTATATTGTTGTAGCAGGCAAGGTCCTGCATAAACCCTACGTATCCATAATTAATATGTTTATTGTCTTTTCTTGAATATTTTTTTATCGTATTTCTGTGATTGTAATTTTTAACCCCTTTTTTTTCCTTCCAGGTATTTGCTAATGGGTGGTGCCAAGTCAGCTGTTGATTTAATGGAATCTTCATCTGAAGTTCATTTTTCTGGATTTCACATGGATGGTTATGAGCAAAGAGAAGCTAGCATAGAACAACCAACAACATCGGAAACTGACACGTACAATCAACCTTTTGTCATAGGTGTGTTTTCTTATGGAAAGCTTCCAAATTAGTAGTGAATTCATTGACAACTTCATAGTTGTGTCTATATGGTGGGGGGACTTTGTGTTGTGTTTTTTGTGTCTACACTATATTGATGGTTTTGCTGCTAGTAGGAACTCAGATGCTAGAGACCATATATTATTTCTATAACACCAATAATTTGTTATTTGCAAATCAATAATTTAGTAGACTGATATGGTAGGTAAGGTCACAGTGTATACAAATACAGAAGAGAGGAAAGGAGAAAATAGCTAGTCATTCGAGAAAATTGGGGACTTAGGGCAGGGAGGTTAGTTGGCCTTGTGGTTTTACATTGTTGTTCTGTAATCAGAGTATTATTCCCTAATTCTTCGTAATAAAATTCTAGTTCCTATGAGGTTCTAGTCCATTATGCCGGATAAAATATCAGCGTGTCTGATCTTTGTCTCTTAGAATATAGTTCACATGAGACATTAGCACAATTTTATTTTAGTTGAAATAACACAATTTCTTGATATTAACATTTTCATTGAAAGAAAAGTGACATAAACAAGCCAGATTTCATGTTTTCTGTGGAAAGAAATCATGTTGTCTTATTTCTGTAATTATAAATTAACACGGAATTAAAATACTTAGAATTTAATATGCAGGTGTCAATTCTAGTATCATAATATCATTTCATCTAACATTCCTGTTAGTAAATATAAATCATAAGTTTGGTCTGTTTGGATGCATCATTTACAATTTTTAGAACTTCTTCCTTTTATCTCGATGATTCTAGTTTATTTATCTATTTTTGCAGGTGTTGCTGGGGGTGCGGCATCCGGCAAAAAAACAGTTTGCGATATGATTGTTCAGCAGCTTCATGACCAGCGAGTGGTGCTTGTTAATCAGGTATTGAATTCTTTCCATTCATACATATTATGGTCAAATTGAGAAAATATCAAGACTTATTATAATTATATTGAACACTCCCTTCTTCTTTTGTCTTGTATTTTTTTGTAGTCGTGTTTCAGAATTTGGGTTAAAACTCAAAACCTTTCTTATTGTATATGTATTGATACATTGGCCTGATAAGTTAACTATTTAACATATAACAGGATTCTTTTTATAATAACTTGAGCGAGGAGGAACGATCAAGGGTACAAGATTACAACTTTGACCATCCTGGTTAGTACAATTACATTTCTTAGTCTGAAAAGTCATTATTAGCGAGTGTCTTTTGATATTAAGAAACTGTAAAGGATGAAAAGTTCTTTTATTCTTAACTGGGATGCTTTGTTTTATATTTCTTCTTTATTTCTATTCATCGACAGAAGAAAACAAACTACGAATTCATTGGTTGAGGCTCTATAATGGTGAATGATAATATCCTAACATTTGATAGGCTAGCAGCAAGATAAGAAAAATGTAACATTTTATTTTCTTAATAACTATGTGAATGTTTTTGTATTTCTGTTATGTTTTATCATCAGATGCTTTTGATACCGAGGAATTGCTTCGTGTTATGGACAAATTGAAGCACGGTGAAGCTGTAGATATTCCAAAGTATGATTTTAAGAGTTACAAAACTGACACGTTAAGAAGGGTATATCTTTTGAATCTTATGTTTTGTTTTAGCAGTTTTAAATAGTAAATATCATGCAAAAGGTGCCTTTCTCTTTTGGTGCATATCTCATGTATAAAATATATATGATATTATAATCTAAATGCATATTTAAACTCAGTTTTATGATGAAGCTCAAGTCACTATGATTTCTCTTCAGGTGAACCCTTCTGATGTTATAATTTTGGAAGGCATCCTTGTTTTCCATGATCCACGTGTTAGGGAGTTGATGAATATGAAGATATTTGTTGATACAGGTCCTTTTGATTCCATTAACTCAGAATTTATTATATTGTATGTTTCACATAGCATTTGTCAATATATTTGCAATCTTTTGTTAGAATAATTTTATCTCATCTCGTGGAATTTCTCATTTATTTGTTGATTGTTTATGTATTGAACTTTTACTTGTGTACCTTCTAGTTATTTTCCAATCCGGTAGACTTTCCATGCCATTGTTGAAATACTAAAATTAAGCTGTCACTTTACATTTTCAAATGTTCAGTGCAGATGCTGATGTTCGTTTGGCAAGAAGGATTAGGCGTGATACCAGCGAGAAGGATCGGGACATTGGAGTAATTCTTGATCAGGTAGCAGTTTAAAACCACGGTTTTGCACTACGATAAGTACTTTTTGATTTTATGTTGCTCTTTCTTTCTTTTCCAGTATTGATTATTCAATGCAAGACTAGGGAAAAATAATTTTAATTTCACAATAGTGATTGGCTCTATTTAAATTCCTTAATAATGAAGCCTATGCATAATCATTCTAATTTTGAGGAAATATATTATTAAGGATGCTCTTGGTCAAGCTAACGTAATCTTCATCTAATTTTGACGGTCAATACCTTCAATTAAATGATTTCGGTAGCTGATTCTTATGTTACACTTGTTGCAGTATTCAAAATTTGTGAAGCCAGCTTTTGATGACTTTATTCTTCCAACAAAGAAGTACGCTGATATAATCATACCTCGTGGAGGAGATAATCATGTCGCTATTGATTTGATTGTTCAGCATATCCGCACAAAGCTTGGTCAGCATGACCTGTGTAAAATATATCCAAATTTATATGTCATTCAGTCGACTTTTCAGGTACCTTTTCTTGCAATTTATTAACCTTCTCAAATAATCTGTGTGTTCCAAGCTTTGAGTTTTGTTATAAATTGAATTGTTGTAACAATTGCTGCTATACAGATACGCGGTATGCATACCTTGATACGTGATGCTCAGATAACGAAGCATGATTTTGTATTTTATTCTGATCGCTTGATTCGTTTGGTAAGTAAACATCTTTCATCATTGCTTTCCAAATTTGGTGGTGATATGGTATTTTCTTTAATTATGCACTTGACCAGGTCGTCGAACATGGTTTAGGACATCTTCCATTTACAGAAAAACAAGTAATCACTCCCACAGGTATTCTTTTCCTTTTCATACTTGATTTTTGAATACTTTAGTTTGTATTATTTGTCTTTAAATTCACCCTTTCCATAAATGCAGGTTCTGTTTACACTGGTGTGGATTTTTGCAAAAGGTTGTGTGGTGTCTCTGTCATCAGAAGGTATTAAATGTTTTCCGAAGTCTGGAGTTATATGGACATTTGATTAAATGTTTTCCATGATCCTTGCGTCAATGTGTTGAATAATTTGTTTTTTACAATTTTTTTTTAAAAGTTGGTATTTAATAGTTTAGATATTTTTAAGAAAAGTTGAAGTTTCTGTGTTGGTGTTTGTTTACGTCTATATTGAAAATCATTTTGTAAAATATAGCGTCTTAAGGAACTAGCTCCTCCCTCCTCTCCTTGGTTTGGTGTGAAAATATATTTGTAGCCCTTTATCATTTTTAAAAGCACTTTCTATTGTTATATTGGTATTCCTCTAATTTCAGTGGGGAGAGTATGGAGAATGCCTTAAGAGCATGCTGTAAAGGTATTAAGATTGGGAAAATTCTGATCCACAGAGAAGGCGACAATGGCGAACAGGTTTGTCCTTCTGTATCTGTATGATGCTGTGGTACATATCTCCATTTCATTTCTCATTTTTTTGGTTACTAACTTCTTATCTTGTAATTAAATGAATAGCTAATATATGAAAAGTTGCCAAATGACATCTCAGAAAGGCATGTGTTACTGTTGGACCCTATTCTTGGCACAGGTTTGTGACAGTCTCCTTTTTCTCATGGTTGTTCCGAAGAGAGTAGGCAGCCTATTGAAATTGGAATTAGAGATTTTATATTTGTTTGTTGATTTTTGTTAATATCTTAGTTATGTTGCGATTATGTGTTTATATTCAAACCGATGATTCAAATGAAAACCACAAATGTGTCGAAGAACTAGTCTCATCAATAAAAATTCAATTCAGTTGCTCCATACTTGTTTTAGTCACATTGGTCGAACTATGTAAATATATATGCACATTTTTGTTCTGCATTCTGCTAGAGTTCCTGTTGTGACCTTTTGATTAATCATAGAAAATTTCATTTTATAGGTAATTCGGCTGTTCATGCAATTTCTTTACTTATAAGAAAGGGCGTACCAGAATCCAACATTATATTTCTTAATCTCATCTCTGTAAGTTCCTAATGCCTTGGTTCCTCTGTCAGTTTTCATCTTTCTCTTTGAAGTGTGATTGTTTTCTCTTGTTCTTTCCTTACCTTTTTGCCGGTGCTCTTACCATTGATTTTCTCATCTCTTGCAGGCTCCTAAAGGTGTTCATGTGGTGTGCAAAAGTTTCCCAAGAATTAAAATAGTGACATCTGAGATAGAGATTGGTTTGAATGAAGATTACCGTGTCATACCAGGTATGGGAGAGTTTGGAGATCGGTACTTCGGAACTGATGATGATGATGAACAAGTGGTGGTTGCTTCAAAGTAGTGAAACCAAATTCAACAAAATCTTTTGGTTAATCATAATTAACAAGAAACTTTCTATGCTGCAATTTGCTGCCAAATTTCTACTGTGCTAGGGGGTCTGAATTTTAGTTCATCATCAATTTAGACTCTACTAGGCCAGGAATAACCATGATATAATTTGATGTTATCATTTACTACTACTATATTTTATAACAAAAATAATTGGTATGTGATTGAGACTTCATTAACCTTGTAATGATTTCCAAGTTGTGGCCTTATTTGATATATGGACTGTAGAGCATTTCAAAGTCTTAGTTAGTTGTACTAAGCTACAAGCAGGAGTTGTTACACAAGGATAATCAAGTGGAAGTAATCAAGAGCAAAAGTGCTTTTGAGAGGCTCACTAATAGGACAAGGATATTAGTAGGAGCCATACAGCCGAGGCTGGCCCAAATGAATAATTGATCCATCATGAATCAAGTGGGTCTAAAGTATTATAAGTTTATTCTAGAAAGGACAAAAGAGAGAATTATGCATAACTCTTGGGATGACTGTGGGGAGAGCTATATATTGTAACAATTTCCATTTAATGAGTTATTATGGATAACTCTTGAGATGGTTGTGGGAGAGATGGACTCCAACAATTTTCATTTATAAGAAAGGAGTGGAATTGAGGGTTGAGAAGATATCTTGTGAATATGAGAACTTATAATGAATATGGAGCATTAGCTTCCTATAGGAGCCTAACAATGGTTAGGAAATTAGGGATTCTTTTTTCCTTTTTCTGTAATCACCCCTAACCATAATAAATAAAAGTTCTCCATTGTGTTTTTTCTACTCGTTTTACTTTTTCTATTTAGTGGTTCCTAACAAACTGGTCTGACCTACCAGATACGTTGACTAGATCAGTGAATGCCACCTAAGAAGAAACAAGTATCAATCACATAGAGTGAAACTCAATTCCTGATAATGGAGATTAAAGTCACAGCACTAGAAAATGAGCTATCAGAGGTGAAATTTGCACTTGCTGATGTGCAGTACAACAAATAGAAACAAAAATTTCTTGTTTCCATGCTTGAGAAATGCGTGAACAAGGAGTGTTTGCCAGAGAAGAAAATTCCAGTTCAAATCCATTGTAAACAAATCTGCCGGCTGGATTTATAGAGTGGAAGTGTATTTTTCGGGTACAAGAGACGATTCAAGAGGTCAAAGTTAATCTCTCGCAGTTGTGTATGGAGGGACCGACGATCCACTTTTTCAACTCTCTCCTTGAGGAAGAGGAACCACTCATGTGGGATAAGTTGAAAGACACGTTGTTAGAGCGTTACAGCGATCACAGTGATGGAGATGTCTATGAGCAACCACAGAGCTCCGACAACGTGGTACAGTGAATGAGTATATATGTGAGTTTGAATACCTCACTGCTCAAATACTCAAGGGAAATGTTAGGAGGTAGAGATAGAAATTGGTGATTTCCAAATAACCACACAAGGGAAATGTTAGGAGGCATAATATATTCATAGATAATTTTAGAATCCTAGTTGATACTCCATTTATCTTTCAATTTTTATATAAATTATTTTATATACAACATAACACTTCACATTAAAAAAAGTATCTAGTGTTCGATACATATTAGTGTATGAGATCAATATATTCAATCATTTATATTTTCTTAAACTCTTACCAATATTTATGTACAAATATCAGTGTTATATCTATTATTTGTGTGCCTGTTTCATATTTATCTTCCAAAATCACATGGCATGCGTATGATTCTTTTGCACACTGGTATTCTATTACTACAAACTATGAATCCTCATAAAGCAAAAAGAAGTAACCAAGCATATGAACCACAACTTCATCTCTTTGTGATGCACTTTCTTGCTACCAAGACACCATTTGGTGGACTAGTCAACACCATCTGACATCTACTATGCAACATATAAGACAAATGAAAAAGTCCAAAGTTTACTCTAACTTTAAATGTTCCTCTTACATTGTAAACAATCTGGTTACTCTCCACTTGCCTTTGAAGTTTCACACCAAGATCCTTAGGCAAGAACACCAAGCTTGATATGAAGTTCAATGATTGCAACCTACTTTCCTTTTTCCTTTGAGTAAAAGGTTGAATCGACTGTGCTGATATGATCGCATCTGAAAAGAAAAGGTCGACGTCCAAGGACTCGAACCTCACATCAATTTTGGTGTTGGGGTTAGTGAAGTTCGCAAGGAGAGTGAAGTCACCGTTGAAATATTGAGGTGAGTCAAAGTATACAAGATTGAGATTCGCATTAGGTATGTCAAATGTAGGGTTTTTCGGTTTGATGGCTAAGAAGATTATCAAAGTTGTGACACCAAAGAAAATTAGTACAAGGCTGAATATGAGACACAATATTGCTCCAAACCATATTATTGGATTGGTTCTTTGAAACCTAAGTTGTCTTAGGTTTGTTGGCCTTCTTAACTTTGTTGTGGTTGAAAATTTTGCTTCATTTGATATGACAATTTGGTCTAGAGGGACTTGTTTGGTTTCACTTGTGGTTGGATGCAAAGGAGGAGGTGGAAGAGCAAGCATGTTTTAGTAAAGGAATGAGGAGATTATGGGTTAAGAAAAATGAATTGAAGATATAAAGAAAGCTTTTGATTGAGTAGTAGATAGTGGGGACAATATGTTTTTTCTAGGAATTGGTAAAAGGTGTAGGGAATATATGAAGCTAAAGTTGAGGAACATTATGGTTTTTTTGTTTTGTTTTGAATGAAAATGAAATTGGTCTATGGTAAGTAATGTTTGAGAAAGTTATAAAGGATGAATTGAATTGAGCCCACATATTCTTTATTGCTTTTACTTTAAGGCTTTATTATCTGATTGTTACATACATATCAAATGGTGAATGTAAACTATAATGTGGGATTGATTATGTACTAAGGAACCATTATTAAGTTGCTAAGATTTATGTGTGGTAATTTGTTTGGTTAGTAATTGATTTGGTTGACACAATTAACTTAACATGGTTTATGTTTATCCTTGAATAAAGTGACATGTCCTTGTAATGGTCAGGGTTTGTCAGGAAGAAAAAGAACAAGGAATCAATCCAACATTGTTTTAGTCTAAGGAAAGGAGAAAGTATTGAAGGATTGTCTAATACTTCAAGAAAGTTTTAAAAAAATTGTTTTGTTCTATAATTTGAAAATGAAGAAATTAGAGAAGAGTTGAGGTTAGAGATTCGAAAATTGAATTGAGGTATTTTAGAATAATTTTTTAAAAGTTGTGTGACTAAATTGTAGATTTTCATGATACTTTAAGGAGTATTTTGATGAGTAGACTTATTAAAAATGGGACTATTTCAAATTGAATAGTTAGTAGGAAAATAGTTTAAAATTTTTTTTAGTAAGTTTTATTTTACATTCTTCTCTTCCCATAAGTTAGGTTGTTTAAATATTTTTAATTGTATTACAAAATGATGAAGAAATAAAAGGGAGGTAAACTATCAAATTTAAGTTGGATAATTTAAATGAAGAACTTTAGTAACCTTATGTAACATAAAAGTATATTTTAAGTTGAAGGAATTTTTTTACTGAATTGCGGTAAAATCTGTGATGTTGTACGAATAAATATATTTGACGGTTAAGAATCAACACAAAAATAAAGTAAGAATATCAGAGATGAAGATATTGTGTTGGGTGTGTGGTAAGAATAAATAAGATAAGATTATAAATAACAATATTAGAAATGACAATATCGTAGAAAAGATAGTGAAAAATAGACTTACGTGATTTGAGCATGTAAAGGAAAAAAATATAAATTTTGTTGTTAGGAAGGTAGATCGAATAAAAAGAAAACAAACAACTTGAGGTAGATGATAACTTAAAAAAACTATAAGATAAATTACTAAGAAATATCTCAAAAATAACGAATTGAATAAAAACATGGTCTTTGGTAAAATATTATGGCGAAATCTGACCCATATAACCGACACCACCTAGTGTAATAAAGCATAGTTGTTGTATTTCACATTTTTCAAATTGTTATGAAGGTTTCATTATTTGGATCGAACTCTAGTGTCGATAAGGGTAGCTTCATGGTTCAACAAGAGTTGTGTATACTGTAGTCGAAGCTTGTTCGAGCATAATGTCAAAATATATTAACTTCTAATTTAAGTTAGTATGTCGAATTGGGTCTTGCTTCTAAGCCCAATTATTAAATTAGCTTGTATCTTAAGTTAGCTTAGTAGTATATAAATAAACTAGTTCTCTCAGGTTGTTGAGATGGATTAACTGTTGGTATTCACTTGTAATCTTTGAACCCTTATTGAGAAAGTGAATAGAAAAATATATTTAATCAATTCCTATTCTCCTTCTTCCTTCTTCTCTCCCTTTTATAAAACCTAATAGGGTTTCTTGTATTTGTTCAAGAAACTCAAATATTTTCCTCATATTTTGGTTTGTTCTTGACGACATTAATTCACAACAAACTGGTGCAGTGAGCGTGGAGGAGAAGATGTCGTCAACAAAGTATGAGATTGAGAAATTCACTGGTGTGAATGATTTTAGTTGTGGCGCTTGAAGATGCAAGCCCTTCTTGTTCAACAGGGTTTATTAGAAGCGTTGAAAGGATTGGAAAAGATTGACGCTGTCCTATCGGAGAAGGAGAAGGCAACGATGGTCGAAAAATTCCACAATACCATTGTATTGAGCCTTGGTGATAATGTTCTCCGGCATGTTTGATAGGAGAAAACTGCAGCGGGTTTGTGAACGAAACTTGAAGGTTTGTACATGACAAAATTATTGGTTAATTGTCTCTACCTGAAGCAAGCTTTGTATTCATTCAAGATGATTGAAGACAAAGCCTTGGCTGAGCAGCTGGATATATTTAACAAGTTAATTCTTGATCTTAAAAATATTGAGTAAAACCTCATAGGAAAAGCTATGTCTCGGAGAAACGAATTCAGAAATCAAAGCAATATCACATAAATAGGTAAAAACAATGGTAAGTAACAAAATAAAATGTACATTGGAGCGTAAGAACGATAAAGGTTACCTACTTATTGGATTCATACGTGTCGATTACAAGCATGTCAGTATAAAATGCACACACGACTAATCCACCAAGGAAACCACCTTTTTGTCTTCAATGGTCTAGTCAAGACGAACTTGCTGTCGTGAGATCTGCCTAGTAGGACAAAAATATCCCACCTTCTTCAAGGCGCATTCCAAAGAGTAATTAGTGATAAAGTAACTTTTCTCCAATAATTTAACTAACTCCTTGGACAAGGCAAGGTTCTTGAGACACTTCTCATGAAGGTTGTCCCCAACTTTCTTCCAACCTTCCTAAAACTCCTTCAAAGGCACCGAGTTCTTCTATCCTTTTTCAAGCACGACCCAAAGATCAATTTGCTTCATCAAAAGCAACCTCCACCCTAGATAAATATGCCTATGCATAATCTAAAGCCTAATACTTCTTTATCACCTCTCGAGCAAGCAAATTCACCTTCTCAACCAGAGTGTCGAGATACCCAAAAGGTTCCACGACAACCTCTATACTAAGAAATAAGGATGAAGCTTCCTGAATCTATTCTAGACATTGATTTCATTCAACGTAAGGGAATTAACTCGTTCTTTGAGATCCTCTTTCTCCCTCCAAAGACGATGATGAGGAAGACTTCCCCTCGCCCATTTGCTCCAAAGGTCAATACAGTAGATGTTTGACATGTAACATATGCCAGCTCCACCAGATCCCTCTAGAAAACTTCTTTAAACTTATTAGAGAAGTAATAATATTCTTCATCAAAGGGGGAATACCGAAACTGTCTAACCGTTCTTCGGTTAGGGCGAGCTAGCAGCTATCGGAAAAATAGCAAGTGTACTATTTTCACCGATGTAGTAATAAGGGAAAAAGTCCCAAGTATCGATCTCGAGGACTGTATAGTAATTAACAGTAGTTTTAGTATTCAAAGGAACAAAAATGCCTTGGGGTTGTTTGGTAGCAGGATATAAAAGCTAGTAAGTAAAGACTTTTAGATTTATCTAAGAACAATGCTAGGGAAGTGGATAAATTGCGAGTAAAGACCATAAAGAATTATTCTGCGATAATTGTTTCCCACCTTAATCAGTCAAATTTCAAAATCAGTTTTCCTACTCCTTAATGAAAAACCCTTTGATGAATTTCATGCACACTAATTCCTCAGTTGCCCATGAAAAGCATCAAGCAATAGTTCTGACATAAAACACGTGCTACGGGATATCCCCATTCCTAAGCAATATCTACCGTAATGTTATTTTGCAAAAGCATTAGGTTGACTTTCCAGACCAAAACCTAATCGTAAATCAAATTCTATTTTCCAATACAAATAAGCATAAAGATCGTTGCAAAATAAAAGGTATAAGGTGAATAACATAAATCTCATAAAATAATTCCAACAAAGGTCAATACATCGCAATTTAGGACCACCCCCTAACAAATGGGGGTTTAGCCACTCATGTTCTTAATCAAAACAAATGCACTTAAAAATAAAAGGAAAAAGTGAAGGTGAGAAAATACTTAGAAGGGGGGGGGGGGGTTGAATAAGTATATAGAAAAAATTATAGCAATAAAAACTCAAGGATTTTTATCCTGGTTCTTTGAACTCAACTACTCCAGTCCACCCTATCAAGACTGATCTGCCTTTCTCAACAAGGACTTAATCCACTATTAAATCAACTGATTACAATAGCAAGCACTAAGATCAACTGCTCTTAGTTTTCTTAAGAACTACTGATCCCAACTAGATCTTCTTAAGGATCTTTTACAATCAAATGAAGAATAATACAAGTGTTTAGATGCTTCTAATTAAGCTTTATCACAACTGTGATTTTACATTTAAGATTTAAGAACTATGAAATAAATTCAGCTAATGAGAATAAATTGTATGAGAGCTTGTAATGAATTTCTTTCAAGGATTTCGTCAACAGAAGAAGATGGATGAAGTCTTGCTTTTATAGGCACAGAGGTCCAAGAAGTCTTTCGCGTTGAAGGCTGTGTACCAAAAAGGTCTGAGCCTTTTTGTCTTCACATCACATGACCTTTCCTAGAAGTAGAATGCACAGAAAAATCCTTTTTGTCTGTGTTCTTGTGTCTAACATAAATGAGGAAAGAGTCGTTTGGCCATTCCAACGGACATAACTTTGAATTCTTCTTCAACAAGTTTCAGCAAAGTATCAGAGCCTTGACTAATCAGAGCCTTCTGATGTTCATCAGAGTTTGCTGAATCAGAGTCTTTGTAGCAAGTGTGCTTTCAGCGTGTAATTGTTCAGAGCAGAGTTTGGGATCAGATCCTCAGTACTGGTAGCGTTAGTACTATCAGAGTCTTCTGAAATAAACTAAGCTTGAAACTCTTCATACAAAATTCTTCAATGCTTCAGATGCTTCTGGCTTCTGCTTCTGATGCTTCTGTAGCTTCTGCTTCAGATCCTTCTGTAGACAACGCTCAGAATCTTCTGGAGGTAGCGTTCAGAGTCTCTTAAAAGATGCTTCTGACGCTTCAGAGCCTTGCATATTTTTCATGTTCAGATCTAATTTGCTTCCAGAATAATATTCAC